ATTCAAGCCTGTTACTCCTGACTTTGTCTTCCCAGGTGAGCTGTTTGTTCAAGACTGAGAGGTTCCTTGTTGCACTGTTTAGGGCTGAATAACTTGTTGCGATCTAAAACACATAAATCAATGCAGGCTTTTACTTTTTATTCAGTTAAATCCAGGCGGTGCACATTTTACCGAGGTAACATAATGACACAGGGAAATGTATTAAAATAAATTAGGCCTAGAATGTGGGTATAGTCAAATACAGATCAGATTTGTAAGTTAATTTTATTAAAATTATGTCATCCACTATTATAAACCAAAAAGTTGTAGAAGGTGTAAACCCTACGTGTGAATGCTGGCTCTGCAATAACAGTGGAATAATAATGAGATGATGCTTGTTTTAATGGCCCTATAAATTAGAGTGTCTTGTCGTGATGCTGCACCACCCCATCTCAGGCCCTACAGCCCACGGCTGGACCAGCCAAAGAGCAGCTGCCCCTAATGACGCTTTATTTAATTTCCACCCATGTGCTTAAATTTTAATATCCCTAGCAGCCCGCCAATGTTGTGGTGTAAAAACTGACTGGATTTGCAGGACATCCGATCATTTCTATCCTGCACGTCTGTGTGCTCTAAATCTTTAATATCTAGGCAATTAAAATTAATGACCATTCAGGCGAGGCCCACTGTTGGCAGGGTTTCCTTGACATCAATTGTTTGATGGGTTTACCTAGAGGTTAAACTAACAAGCAAGGTTTAATTGGAAGCAATGAAAGCCCTGGCCATCATCCTTTTTACTTAACCTGCTTATAGTGGATTGTAGGGCCAAACACGGTGCAATATTCTCCCTCATTTAGACAGCTCACATTGTGCCCACAAACCCCTAAAAATATCAACAATTTTTTTTCTAATGCTCATCATTTTGCTTAATTCAACAAAATGTTTAAACAGATCTGCATTTATTAACTATCACTTAGATCAACTACTTCATCGCATTATTATTAGTTTTAGCAGTGCAGCCTGTGTTCAAATCCTGCAGTAAAATGTGTACAATTAACTCATACATAAATACAACTTTTTGATTTTTTTCCCCAATTGTGATGAATTGTGTATTAATCCTGGACAAAATCAGCTCTGCTGATTACATTTTTTAATGTCCTGCACACTGAACTGTGGTTTCAGGGAATCTCAGGTTCAGCTGCAAAATAAAACACTATGTGAAAAGAAATAACACATTTGTTTTGATGAATGCTAACCTAAGAGGCCTCAAAGCTTAAGTTACAATTTGAAATCCCTCCTTACTTAAAAAATGTTTGTCCAATACAAGACAAAATGTTCACCCTTTCTGTACAATTCCGAGATAAACAATGGATTTAAATTCAAAAACAGCACTTTCTGTGAACTGCATTAATATTTCATAAACACAATATTAAAAGTATTACTCATAAAAACACCCTAATTTCATTTAAAGGGGACCTATTATGCAAAATTCACTTTTTAAAGGTTTTTTTACTCAACTTTGGGTATGCACTTCTTAAAAAAACAGTCCCAGGACCAAAAAATGCACCCAGGGGCATATTTACTGTAAGTAAATGTATTTTTGATGTGTATTAACGACAAGTTTTATACTTCCGTCATTTTGTGATGTCACAAGCTGTATGACAACCCACCGGAACCTGTGTTCAGCCCCTTATTTAGCAACCCCCGGGTGAAGCTCCACCTCCTCCTCAGTATAAAGAGCCGTCATGGTGTTGTTGTGCAATGCGCAGCTCATTTTACAACAAGCTTCCAATGGGGCACTGGGTAGAGTGTTGGACCAGAGAGTGGGAGACCAGGGATTGAGACCAGCATGGGCACAATTTAATAACTTATTTATTTTCATTTGTTATGGACACATTTTCTCATGTACCTCTATTGTTTAGCTTATTAAAGCCTATTTGTTCGAGTTTCTGAGGTATTTTGACCGCTGCTGCTTCCTGCTCTGGTAACAGCATGCAGAGTGAGCGCAGAGCAGAGCAGGGAGAGGGGGGAAAAAAGAAGCTGCGACCGACTCTTCCTCTGGGTCTCATATATACGGTTGTACAACGGAGCTTCTGCTATTATTAGCCATGCTAACATAAACGCTGGCTTTGGAGGGCGGAATTAATGTCAACAGATTTTTGGAGGGCGTTACCAACAGAGCTCATTAACATAAACAGCTCTTCTGAACAGAAGTCAGAGCAGGCAGAACTAGAAAATGGGAAATTTGATTATTTGAGAATTATTTTGTGCATTAAATTGAATGAACCTGGTCTGGATAGCCCACAGACATACCATAAAAATTTCTAGGACCCATAATTGGTCTCCTTTAATATACTGTGTATTTATCTTTTGACTGAAATTGAATATATTGTTTAAGTTACAGACACATTAAGTGTTGCTGCTGAGGTAACTGAAAAAATCATCCAATAGGATGTTTAAATTGCAACATATGTAAAATGACAAAGGGTCCTGTAATTACAGGCTCATACAGGAGATATCGAGTTTTTACTGATAAAAAGTGTGAGATTCATTTATCAAATCAGGCACAGTAAAGAGTTTTTTAAGTTTTGACTGCAGTATTTATAAAATACTTATGAAAAAGTCAAAGTTAAATGCTGCATTTGAACTGCAGCAGTAAGGATTTTTCTCTTGATAGGATGTCTGTGCCTCACGCGTTTAAATAATCTCTGCTAAGACAATGCAGGTTATTTCATCAGCGATGATGCATCGAGATGCACCGTAGAGTGATATTGGCAGACCAGGCACAACGAACGGTGTTTACTTAATGAACTACAAGTGCGATCAACAAAACAGCACACAAAAAGAGTTAGGGAGAGTTTGAAAAATGACTTAGCTAAGCTTTTGGAGCAACCTCAGTGAGTTGTTTGTGGCTTTGAAAGTTTGGGCCTCTAGCAATGACGTGTGGGTTGCACCTGGCTTTATACTGAGCATCTGACTGTGTTACTGTGTTAAAATGAGCAGAAATAAGTCAATGTGAAAGGCCACTTCTCAAAGGAGTGTGCCACTTAATGTTTATGTGATAAATTTGAGTATTTTTGTAAATCTCATTCATTTTAGGAATTTCTCAAGGGAAGAAAGGCTGGTTTTATGACGGAATAAGACTGAAGTTTGATTTGTGAGGGCTGGTGGTCATTTTGTTAACAGGTGTAAACAACAGAATCATCACAAGGTGAAAAAAAGATACAGCAATAATAATAATAATAATAATAATAATAATAATAATAATAATAATAATAATAATAATAATAATGAGAAGAGGAAAGAGGGAGGAGTTAAGACAGAACGACAAAAGGGAAAAAAGACAAAGTAAGACAAAAGATAGACAAATCAAAGCAAAAAAAGAAAGTAGAAAAAGGAGAAAGAGATACAGGTAAGATTAAGGTATAAAAAGAAAAAAAGAAAACAGAAAAGAAGAATAAAACACAAAGAGAAATTAAGAATGAAGGAGCAAGGAAGGAAGAAGAAAAAGGAGGAAGGAGAAAGAAAATATAAGAATAGTTTAAAAAGGCAAAATACTAATTGTAGGAGAGTAAAAAATAAATAAATAAATGTGACAGAGAGCAAGGAAAGTAGAAAAAGTAACAGAAAAAAGAAAGGGATAAGAAGAAAGAGAAATAAATGAAAATGAAAGAAGAGGAAGTTGGAAGACATAAAAAACAGGCAAAGGATAAGAATGATGGAACAAAGTGAGAAGAAAAAGGAAGAAATAGGAGGAGTAAAAGAAAAGAAGAAAGTAGAGGAGTTGAAAGAGGCAAGGAGGAAGAAAAAGAAAGAAGATGAAGATGGATGAAGCAGGAAAATACGAGTAAATAATAAAATAATATGAAAAAAGAAGAGAAAATGGAGATAAAAATAATAAGAAGGAAGAATCGTGACATTTTAACACACAACAATAAATAGTGATAACATGGGTGTGGTGCAAATTTAAGAAACCATCAGACACAGGCTGTGTGGTGTTGTGT